TCATTTTGCACCTGGTTGAGTAGCATTTTTCGCATTATTAATACTACTATTGTTGACTGTTATCATTAGTCTTTCTGATTCTTCTCAGCCCCTGTTCTCATATAACCACCTAAAGTCAACACATCCACTCCCATCCCTGAAAACGTTATTAGCCATCATCCTTATTTACTCAAAACAACCTCCATGCATACGTATAAGAGTCAAACTGGATTCTTTATCACCGATAATAATCAAATAACAGGCAACCTAAACAAAAGTAGCCATCATGAACAAAGCCCTTCTCTTAGGAGTATTGGTTTTCCTCGTCGTTGGAGTCGTCCTTGGTCTAATTGCCGGAGTAAATCATCATCATTCGACCACAGACGAGGACGGTCAGGTACTCTCCACCACCAACAAGTCGGTCGCGTCCGTTTGTTCCTGAACCGATTATAAGAGGGCGTGTGTCAATAGCACGTCCTCTTTGGCCAACAATGCTAGCGCCACTCCAAATGATTTTCTCCAGGCTACAATTAACGTAGCCGTTGAAGAGGTGCAAGGTACAAGGAATAGGTCTTTAAAGATTGGACAAGCAGCCAATAACCCGGTCCAAAAGATGGCAGTCGAGGATTGCAAGGAGTTACTGGAATATGCTGTCGAGGAGCTGCAAGCATCATATTCCATGGTGGGTGATAGTAACTTGCATACGGCCATAGATAGAAGCCCAGCTACAAAACTGGTTAAGCGCCGTCATCTCATACCAGTAAACCTGCATAGAGAGCTTCACAACCCCAGAGCTTAAGAATGCAATATTGCATGAACTTTGAAATGCTACTCAGTTAACTGACCGTGCTCATGCCATTCCTCAAATTCTTCAGGCATTTAGCCTTCCAATTACCACGGCTGCCACCACAACTTCAACTACTCGGAGATTGCTTGATAATAATCGTGATATGTTGGACAACGATGGGTTTCCTACCTAGTTCTCGGCTGGAGACAGACAACTGATGGCCAGCCAAACTGGTGGCCAACCAGCACCAAATTCAGTGGTAGCCCAAGATAAAAGTGGACAGTACAAAAGTATCAACGACGCGCTTGCAGCATATCCCAAGGACCTCAAAGGGAGATATATTATCTAAGTTAAGGCAGGAGTTTACGATGAATATGTGATAGTCACAAAAAAAGATGGTTAATGTGTACATGTATGGAGATGGTCCGCGAAAGACCATTGTCACTGGGAAAAAGTGTAGACGCGATGATACCCAAACCTTCTAGTCTGCCTTATTTAATGAGTTGCTCTTCAATTGCCTGTGTTTGAACACAAATCATAAATCCAACAATGTTAAATTTGACAAGTTGATTAATCACATAAAATAAACATATTCTTAGGTACAATAGGAAATTGATTCATAACTATTTCAATGGGATTTCAAAACACAGCAGGGGCTGAGGGACACCAAGCGGTGGCTCTTCGCGTGCAATCTGACTAATCTGCGTTCTATAACTGCATAATGGATTGGTATCAAGACACACTCTATATACAAACCCATCGTCAATTCTATCGCAACTGTGTCATCCCTGGTATGGTCGACTTCATATTTGGAGATTCAGCAGCAATCATCCAAAACAGTTTGATCATGGTGAGGAAGCCCATGGACAACTAGGACTGTAAGTGTTATGCCCTAAATTCAATCGATTTAGGTTGTAAATACTTTTAATATATTTAATGCATTTTTTTGGCAAAATCTATTATTTATTTAAATTAATATTACGATGAATAATATTAAATAATATAGTCCGAAAATTCAAGTTTTCGCTAATTTGTTAATCACATGAAGTTATGATTGTTAATACAAACTACATATGATTGGATCTTAAATAATATATGGTCATAAGTAATGACAAATACGGATATCGTTATTACAGATAGACCATTATATGTGATATTTTTTATTTGTGAAGTAAGTAGCTGACTCACAAGCTAAAATGTGGTGACACTTAAATGAAAGTGTGGATGTTTTGTTATAAAACAAAATACTGGAGACCTACTAAGAGATTTCATATGGATAACTGTCGAGTGTCAGTGGTTAATCTCTAACGTTCGGTAGTAAAACTGGTCATTTGACTTGAGGTCGTCATAATGCCTTGTATAAGGACAGTCATGCTTTGACAGTGTTGGATGTTGCTCTGTCAAGGACCGCTAATATGACATTGTTCAGGCATTTCAAGAATCATATAAAGATTATGAATGACCGATAGAGGATTCGTCACTCTTAGATAGTGAAAGACTATGATCTTCATTTCATTTGATTAAGTTGATAACGAAATCCTTGGCTAAGTTGTACTCAGAAGTCGAAAAGGAGTTTTCGACATATATTAACTTAATAGTAGAATGAAAGATATGATCGATGATCGAGATTGACTCATTTCCATATCTCGCAATTAATCAAATTATATTGACGAAATGATTATAGTTTCACGGTAAACGAATAAGTTTGGTTTTATCATACCATGTGACATTTTACATCACTTGTATTGCCCTAACACGTTGCTAGATGTTAATTTGGGACGGCGAGTGTGAATTGATGATAAATTAAAAAGGTATTTTAATTTATCAAATTTGATCAGATCAAAATAATATTTCACGTCGTTAGACATCGTGATCATAAACCTAATGGATAGCACAAAAAAAGAGAATTTGAAGATTGTAATTTGTCAATTAATTAATTTTACAAATGTTGGATAAATTAATTAATTTGATTGTTTATTTATATGCTCGAATTAATTAATTGAATTAATTAATTCACGAATCAAATTTAATTAAATAAGTTAATTAAATATTAGACTGGATCAGACCAAGTCGGTTTGGGCTTATATAAAAACGTGACTAGGGTTTTCAATTTTTAGAGATTCTCATTATTCTTGCTAATACAAAAGAAGAGAACCCTGGTGACTACAATTTGTTCTCTGTGTGAAATTTCATTGAAAGCTGAACAATTGGATAGCTGTGGGTGGCGGATTAAGGTTGTTGGAACAAAAAAAAGAAAAAAAAAAAACCAAAGGAGTTAACAAATTTAGAAAAATGTATGACTTTTATCATAATTCCTATCTAAACAAAACTAAGATTTCTAGTGGAAATTGAAATTTGTTTTTTATTTTCGTTGTGTATGATAAGTAAATAACAAATCCAATTAATTAATTTATCCAACGATTGTTAAATTAATCAATTGACAATTTGCAATCTTCCAATTCTCTTTTGTGTGTGACCCATTAGGTTCCCGATTACGATGTCTAACGACGTGAAATATTATTTTGATCTAATCAAAATTGATAAATTAAAACACCCTTTTAATTTATCGTCAATTCACACTCGCCGTCCCTAATTGACATCTAGCAATGTTTCAGGGCAATACATGTGACGGGAAATGTCACGTGGTATGACAAAACCAAATTCGTTCGTTTACCGTGAAACTATAATCCATTCGTCAATATGATTTGATCAATTACGAGATATGGAATTGTGTCAATCTCGATCATCGATCATATCTTCACTCTACTATTAAGTCAATATAAGTCAAAAACTCATTTTCGATTTATGACTACACCTTGACCAAGGATTTCATTAACGACTTAATTGTATGAAACGCAGATCATAATCTCTTACTATCTAAGAGTGATGAATCCTTTATTGATCAATCACAACCTTCATACGATTTTTAACGTACCCGAACGATGTCGTATTAGCGGCCATTTTCAGAGCAACATCCAACACCGCCAAAGTATGACTATCCTCATATAAGATACCATGACGATCTCAAGTCAAAGGACCAATTCTACTATCGAACGTTAGAGATTAACCACTGACACTTAGATAGTTATCCATGTGGAATCTCTCGACGGGTCTCCAATGTTTTGTTCTATAACAAAACATCCACGTGTTCATTTAAGTGTCACCACACTTTAACTTGTGAGATCAGCTACTTACTTCACAAGTAAGAAATGCCACACGTGATGGTCTATCCGTAATAATGATATCCGTATCTTGTTATTACTTACGACCACGGATGATTTAAGATTCAATCAGATGTAATTTGTATTTCACAATCACAACTCCTTGTGATTAACAAATTACAAATATTTGAATCTACGGACTCTATTATTTATTTAATTGTCTATTAATTAAATAATAGATCTGCCATTTAATTGCATTAATTATATATAAAAGTATTTATGTCCAAAGTTGATTGGACTTAAGGCATAATACTTACAGTTCCGCCTTCTTGACAAAAATGGAGACGGTAAAATCAGCATTGAGGAACTTATGGAAATAATGGAAGAGGTTGGTGCTCAAGGGGATGATGCCCAGGAGATGATGTGCATCCTTGATTCCAACAGTGATGGTTCTCTAAGTTCAGACGAGTTTGATTTATTCCAGAAACAGGTAAACATATATGGTAATGAGAAGTTTATGTTTGTTCTCTTTCAATGTTCAAATCTTACTTGTGGATCATCTTTTGATGCTTTATGCAAGTCACAGACCACTAGGCGTGAGCAAACAGTGTACAGAATTGTTTTGAGATTTTACTTTTAAGTTTGTTTAGCATTTGAATACCAATTTCCATGCATAATCTGGAAAGACAGAAAAGGGTCATGTTACTATGATTTATGCTCTCATTTGAATTCTTGTTGAAAGTGATGATAACTTTACTATCTATATGCTATGCATTGTTTGTAGTATAGATTTATCTCTCAGACTATAAAATAAGGTAAACCCACAATGCTTAAAGAAATGACATGTAGGGTTGGTGTTTATACTAGCACAATTACCCAGTTTCCTCCATGTTTTTGTCTTGTAACACATGATTGGTTTTCTATTTCGGTTTAATGTAAAAGGTTAGCATAATAGGTACAATCAGCCTTTTATCCTTTTGTCTCTATCTATGGCGTGCTTATGCATTGTATCTCATGCTTGTTCTGTAGGTTGAATTGATGCGTAACTTAGAAGATAGAGATGCTCAATACAAGACTCTTTTAAATAAAAAGCTTGAAATGGCAGATAGCAGTGGGTTGATTCAGGCATTCACGAAAGAACTCAGGGACAGACTTGCTATGAACTAGGCCTTATCAGGCACATTTAACTTAAGAACATGTACCATGATTTTGATTTTGATTCAGGCTTACAGCAAAATGCAGTTTACAACTCATTTGTCTTGCTCGTTCTGGTATTGGTGTCTTCAGAACTTATCATCTGTAAAGAATTATTAGGTAGAGTACTCCTATACTATGTAAATAGAAAACTGTGTTCTTATTTTACTGGAACACAGATTTTTCTGTGTGATATTTTTAGAGCCAGCTATACATAAATAAATATATGAAGTGGTTGTGTACCATCTGTTTTGACACTAAATAAGTAAATATCTAAGTTTTCATGGAAGAATACATATTTTTTTGACTGCACAATTTTATTTGAATTTCAAATTAGAATATAAAATTTTTATTTTCTTTGTGTTTTTAATTTGGCTAACTTTTTAAGTATCTAATGCAATGTAAAATTTGATTTCATTTTGAAATCAAGCATAATGGTTTTGACTTCGCAGTCATCCTATATATAAGTAAGTAGATAGATTGCCAAAATTTTTTTGGGTGTAATTTTAGGATACGTTTTCGTGTACATAAAATATGTATATAGGGGAGTCAACACTCCCTCACATTGGGGTCAGGTGGGCCCCCATCCCATGTGAGGAATGTGGACACTCCTATGTACTCAAATTATGTGTATCAAGTTGAACCCATAATTTTATCCGGTGGCTGCTACCTTTGTGTCAGATGAGCTGAAAATCCTTCTATTTCCACACCAATTGTTCAATAATCACTGGCAGATGATTTGTGAGAATTATCTATTTGGATGATTTCATTACGTATCTGCATGACATCTTTCTCAGTTTATTCGATGCTTCCACGTGAAGGTATGAAGAAATATTGCAAGTTATATTATCATTAAGGGCTTTTAAATTGCAAGTTTATTATCATTAAGGACTTTTAAATACTTTTATTTTCAAAAAAAAAAAAAAGAAAGAAAAGAAAAGGAAGAAGCTAAATGCTAAATAATGTGAAATTGTTTTGAAGAATTTATCGCACGTCCAAATCATCAACACCACGTGTAATTAAGAACACAAAGTAATAAAATTGCAATTTCTTGAATGAATTCAGTGAAATGGCGAAAGATAAGTACAATATATAAAAGCAGTTCGAAGTAATCAGTATCATTCCCAATCAAAACGGCTTATGAGCATGAAATTACTAACAATTATTATTACTCTACAGAGTAATTGTTAGCAGCAGTCAAGAATCATAAAATTGCCACATTTCAATCCATAAGTATCTTTTCTTGAATGTGAACAAACAGAAACACCCCCCTCACCTATTCTTGGATTAAAATCAACTACAAGAAGTAAGGCTGATGTTTGATAGAGGAATTCCTTCTAAACGTTCTTAAATGGGAAAAAAAGAAAATCTAAAAAAATTCTTTAACCCACGCACTGACATAATAAAATAAGATACGACAAAATTTCCAGAAAATGTGTTTGCGGAAGCCGAGGTTAATGGCACGATAAGTAGAGCTTTTAATAAAAAAATTGATCTAAAAATGTTATTAAGTAATTTTTTGATAGCGTTTATAAGTTAGAAACATGAAAGGAATTGTGACATCAATGTTCCTAGACAACAAAATGTGTTATTGAACATTAAATGATCACGTAATACTCATGCAACGTCTTGGACGAGTTAAATCAAAGTGATACATTTTATAAACGCTGAGAAATTTTACTATGTTGGAATATCTAAACCCCTATTTGATAGCTATTATTTTAAAACTTTTTAATTTATATATTTATTTTCAACTACACATTCACATAATAAAATATTCTTCTTGTAAATTTAAAGCTTTTCTTACTTTTTAACCATATTCTCCAAAAAATCACTATTCAAAATATTGTTTCTTCAAAATGGGTACTAAACAAGGGCAAAATAAAAGTTGAAGTTGTTTGAATTATTTGAATAAGATTACTTTTTCCCCCCCTTTCAGCTTGATATCACGTGAGTATGACGCGGTCATATATTGTTCAAATAGTTATTTCGCGGGGACAGGATTTCACACATTTGAAAATTGTAGATGTGAATGCGATAACTAGTAATTTAGGATCACAAGTGACATGTAATGAGGGTTGAGGGCCTTTGTGCAATTTATTTGATACGAAAGACCACCAGCAACCAAACTAGAAGTTAATTGTTTGAACACATAATAAACTTTGTATAACGTCATGTTTCACTCAGTGAACTTTGTTTGCACCTTATTACTAATTGAACTTTAAAAAGTTGCACTCCACTATCGGGTAACTTCCGTCTAGCCCAATCGCCTACATGGACAACAGTTTGCACATGTGCCGTTAAATTGATCCATCTCAAAAATGAATTACCAAGTCACTAATACCGAACATGACTTACCCATTACCCATTTCAAAAGTGAAATCATGATCTAGAACCTTACCCATTTAATCAATGATCGCTGAACTTTGCCGTGTGTTACTATTTGCTCATCAAAATTTAAAAGGTAACTCATTGCTGCTCACTAAAATTTGTTATATGTTACTACTTATTTATTGAAATTTAAAAAGTTATCTATTGCTCACCTAAATTTAAATAAAATTACCCACCAATCACTCATATTATTTCCATGAGTGTTACATATTGTAAAGTTTAATGAGCAGTGAGTAATATTATTCAAATTTAAGTGATTTAAATTTTGATGAATAAATAAGAATTTATAATAAAGTTCAATGAGTAACGAGTAAATTTTCAAAAATCGATGAGCAAGTATAATTTACAATAAAGTTCAGGATCACTCATTGAATTAACTCGGAGTGATACGTGACGTCATGTAAAGTTCAAAATTTAAAAGTAATGCCATTTGTACCCAGGCCCTTATCAGCCCGGTTACACGGCCTCATGGCCCCCACTCAATGGGGTCGGTCCCACGTCGGGCCCACGCGTGGGACCCGACCCCAAGTGAGGGGGAGGTGGGGCCGGGTTACACGCCCAGTAAAAATAGCGTGGTCCAAGAATTAACTCCCAATTCAGAGACAATTTGACGCAGTGTTTCGTATTTAGAGCTCCGATTTGGTGGTTCGGCGGCGCCGGCGTCGGCGTCGTCCAACGAAGAAAGAAAAAAATGAAGAAGCTGATGGGTGATGCCGTGATGGATGGAGGATTCTGGGACGTGGACCTGTCGACGCCAGCGACCCTTGACGGTGTAGCCCGTTCTGTTCCCAGCGAACCACTCCCTTTAGGGATTTCTCGTGGGCCCAGACTCTCTCGTCCCAAACAGATTGATTTCTTCCAGCGCTTCATGTCTATGCCTTTCGTCCCCTCTTTTTCCCATCTATGGAGATGGAGATGTAGGTCTCTCTCTTCAGCGCGTCTTCTCTCTTTATCGTGAAACTTGGTACTTTTCTTCGCTCACTCGTTTAAATGTAAATGTTGGATTTGATGTTAACAGTGCATTTCTGAATTCTGCTCTCCCATATTCTGAATTAGCAATATGATACTTGAGTTTTATTACTTCCACGGTTCCATGTTTCCCTTGTAATGGAAAACATGGTGTATGATGCTGGGACAATTGGCGAGTAGGGAAATCAGAAGAGACCCAAAAAATAATAATAATAATAAATAAATAAATAAAATTGTTTACTTATGAATGATAACTGTGTACAAGGAAGACATACAAAAATGTATCCTTGCTTGTAAATCTAAGGCCTTCCGGATGAATCAGATCTCTATTCATACATCTCCCTATGATAAATGTTGTAAAAGAAAGGAAAAAGATACATATTCTTAAATTCACATATGGGCTATCTCTCATTTTACCTTTGATAAAATCTAAAGCCAATGAATTGAAGAGAAATTGTAAAATGAATTTTCTTCATTCTTCTGATCCGTCTGTACAATGATATATATAGAGTTCAGCTCTAACAGAATTAATGGGAAGCTTTACAATTCTAACTAATAACAGAATGTTAACTAACAAATAACTGCCATGTTACTAACTAATTAACTAACTGCCATGTCATTAACTAACTAATGCAAGAATTTGTCTGTGATAACCTTCAGTGTTCACTTGGACTTCCATTTCACCATGTCAGTAAATTGTCAATAGCAAACATTTTGTCTCTTTCTTTTGTTTTCCTTACTCAGTTCAAATGGAGGAGTTGAAATTGACTGATATTTGGGTTCGAAGTCATGCAGGTTCATGACTTTACTTGGTCAGTTCAATGTACAGAAGTTTGTGACTTCTATCAGGACGAATGGGTTCAGGCAAGAGTCAGATGCCTCGTGGTTGCAAAATATTAGGAGACATCTTTCTGATCAATCTTTCTATGGCCTCAATTTCTGTTCAGAGTTGTTGTTAACACCGGATGATGTAATGACACTTAGCTTAGAAACACATGGTGATCAAAAGACTCTTAGAAAAAAAGCTGTACTTCATCACGAGTCAAGCTTGTATGACCATGATCTCTAAATTAAATTTGTACTCTCTTTGATGGGCAATTTTCATAAACCTTTATCCTCACTATACTGTTAAAATGGTTAGTCATTATGTTGCTTGTGAGTGGGGAAATAACGTTTTCCTCATGTACTTTGTATCTCATCTGTTCTAATTTGTTGGCATATCAAACTATTTTTGCCTCTTCCAAGTAACTATTTCTTTTAATTGGTTTATCAATCCTTTTCCATATAACTATGTTGTGTGGGCCCTTTTTCTTTTTTGACTAGGATATTCTCTTTCTTGGGCTTATTGATCAAAGTCTCCTTTTCTAGTTCCAAACTATGTTACATGAACCCTGAATGCTACTCCTAAGTCACCTCTCACCCACAACAATCGGACTATGCATTGGCAAATAGATGCTTCATTTTTAGCCTAAAAGGTAAATTTTGATGCATTCAATTCTTGGATGCATGTCCTGCCCAACTCCTGGACCAACTCCTAAAACTTTTTATGATGTTCTGTTTCGTAATGGTGAAAGATAAAGTTACATATCGATAATGATAACACTTTATGATTCCTTTGCAGTTTCCATGTCATAATTTCACTGTGGAGGCGGCTTCCCCAGCACTTTTTGTTGATGAGCATGGTAACTACTGGGATGTTCCATTCTCCATGTCAATGGATGTTGCACCAATTGCTTTTGATTCTGGTACAAGCTGTCGTTTCTGCATCAACCATACAGCAGGTTCACCAAAACCATATGAAGGCCAGCCAACCAGCAAAGTTCCTGCTACTTTACTTCCAGGTTTCTGCACCAAATGTGCAGTTTCGTTCGGGAAAAATATTGAGATTTGGAGAAGCGAAGCACCAAAGATAAAAATGGTGCAGCCATATGACGTTTTCCTCTCTAGCCCTCATATTTCAGCTTCAGGAATCCTAGGTAAGAACAGTCAGCCTTCTTTATAAATTTAATATTGTATGGGTTTGCTCTTGATTTTGTTTAAAAGAAAACACTGTAAGTAGGGTGTATTCTTAAAGGAAGCAAAATCTTGTCTTGTCTAATATGACTGCACTTGAGGAGACTACAAAATTTTACTCGTTCATCTCTTATTGGGTAAATAAAACTTCAATGACGAAGAATTCTAATTTTCATTTTAGACCTGACTTCTTTATGAGTAATGATCAAGAATATGGACACTGCATCCTGTAATAACCCAAAGGATGTATGTTGTGCACATTTGATGTCTGCATGCTTATTGTTTTTGTTTTAACCTAATCATTCATGGGAGCAGTTATTTAGCTTAACATAAAGCTATTTTCATCAGTTAACTTTACTTCTCTGAAAAATGCATCTAGTGTCTTTTCTTGATCATATGGCACCGTAGGTGCTGTCATCACTGCATCTATTGGAGAGAATTCAATCGGAGCCCAGGTAGAAGATGGGTCATCGAGCTTAAAAGGCTTCAGTCTTCAAGCCAGAGGAGCAAATTCTACCGTTTTAGCTGATTGATTTGCAAGGGTATCACTCTCTGCTCAGCATGGAAATTTCCAAAGGTGGTTTCTAGATCTTACTCGGTTTCATGCACGGCTAGATATTCCATCTGGGTCAAAATTCCTGTCAGGTGCCACACTTCTAGCATCTGATCTTTATAATTCTCGAACACCTACTATGCAAGCAGTTCAGGCAATTTGTCCAATTGCCTCGATTTCGTTTCAGCAGCAGGTACTTAATGTAGTATTACCGGCTTCTAGCTATTGCTCATTGTAGGTTATTCATATTTTCTCCCTGTATGCTTAACTAAATGCAGATTGCTGGACCTTTCAGCTTCAGAATTGATTCAGGAGTGAAGGTTGATCTCAAGAAAGACTCGTATTTAAGAGTGAATGATCCTGTATTTGCTATCGAATATGCCTTGCAAGTTCTCGGTTCAGCAAAGGCTGTTGCTTGGTATGCGCCAAAGCACAGAGAATTCATGATGGAGCTACGGTTTTTCGAGACTTGAAAAAATATATTTCTTCATTTGCTACTAGTTTTTCCGCTTTGACATTCTTAGAAACATTTTTTTTGGGTACTCAGAATAGTCTTCCATTTCAGATTGTATACTGTTCGTAACCTTAACCTTTAATTTTGTACCATATACATATATGAACGGTGTTATTTGAAAGAGAAACACTAAACTTTCAGGAAAATCTCAATTGGATCACTAACTTTTAATTTGTCTCAATTGGGTTATTACACTCTAATTTAATTCAAATTTAAACTCTTCACGCTATATGTACATCTTGCTTCACACTATGGAAGACATTCCATAAATGTGACACAAGCTGGACAGTATTGTGAAAAGGTGTTGAAGAAATCAAAACATGTGATTGTGTCATGTGTAAGAATGTAAACAAAGATGTAAAGAATGATGTATATTGCATGATTGTTGTGTTTAATCTCTAATCATCCCCCAAAGTGGTGAAATTTGCTTAGTTGGCAAGGTTGGATATGTGAAGCTTTAATATAATGTACACTTTTCCATCAGTAAACAAGGGAAGTAGCGCTAAGAGAGCACAGCGGATGAAAGACCGGCATGGAAGAGGGGGGTGTATATTTTATATAGCATTGAGTAAAGATGTTATGTACAACTATTGTTAAACAATTTTTTTTTTGAATGAAATAGAATATTAGAAAACTATGTTAGATCAAAATCAAAATAAAGCACATCTCAAAAACAAGCAAGTAATCCCTTGCTAGTCAACTGGTCTCCAATTGTCTGGTTATTAGGTAACTTGCAAGGAATACTACTCCATAAAATAAATCAAGCGCTATCAAGTGCAATCAATAAACAACCAGTAATGTGAGTTCAAATCACAGTGTAATTCTCTTGTTTGATATAGTTTAATTTGATACCGGCACTTGATGTGGTAATGTAGACATTGAAGCGAAACTTATTATATTGCGTTTATTCTTGATTACATTTTCTTATTTTGTGTTATTAATTGTTCTTGACAATACGAATTTTTCTTTTAATCCATAATAATTAGTATCAGAGCCTTTGGTTCGTGAGAAAGGAATGACAGGAGAAGACAGAGCTGTGCAAGGATTTGACAGGTTAGAAAAGCACAAGAAGTTTGATAAATGTTAAGTCTGAAAAATATGGGAAGCCTTCTGCAAATTAAGTGATCCACCGTGTTGAAAAAATGGGTATTTTGTGTGTAGATTGATTATCAATTAACATAACAAATACAATTTAACAATAATATAACATAGTAACTGGACATGACTCCATAGAAACAATGACGCAACAACTGTCTCATTTATTTTAGTTAGGATATTTTAGTCTTCAATATATTCATTATTTTGACAGCTTATTTTGCAATTTATTTGACTTAAATTAGCAATTAAAGGATAAAAAAGAAGTGTTGAATGGGAATGATTGACCAGTAAGTTCGATATATCAAGGCAAGAATTGAGAGATTCGAGGCCGTAAGATTGACTCGTCTCCACCCTCACGTGCGATTCCATTTTCAATACATTATATTATTGGAGTGCCTTAGGACCCTCTATTAATTAATGTCATAACGATCATTCCTCGTCCCAAGATTTACATATTATAAATTGGAATTTACTTCTATCGTGGTGACTTCAATTAAGTAGAAAATCATCGTCTTGATATTTCTTTATTTGCTTGTGTTGGTAAGATTTGAAATGTATTTCTTTAATTAAATTTAAGTATAGTATTTTGGTTAACTACTTTGACATTATTTAATTGACTGCGAGTACTAAAATTTTATTTAACATGAGATGGTACAACACGAATCTATCATCTATCAGAGCTGATATTCTGTCCATGATGACCAGAATACCAATTGCTCACCGCTGACCTGACATTGTCATGTCAGTGATCAAGTTGTATTTATGACTTTTGAAAGAAAAATGCTTAACCTACTAACGTGGACCACATTAGTAGGTGGACATTATATCTCTCGTCCATGATGGACGAGAGATCATTTCTATATCGTCTATTTATGAAAATATCATTCAGTAGACATTTCCTAAAAATAAAAAAGTCCTCCGTATGCGTGAAAGCATTTTAAATGCAATATCTAAAAGGTAAATTTTTCAATTGTATAGTAATTTAAGTTTTTATATAAATTAAATTCAGTATCATCAACGAACGAAAATTCATCAAGTCATGGTCGACAAGAGCTTAGACATCAAACATGTTTGGACATGTTATAGCAAGCAAAAAAGTGAATTAATTAGTTGAGATATAACCATCAATGAATAGTAAAATAATTAAAGTGAAATCATATAAAAAAAAAAAAATTATTTATCAATCAATGACAAAGATGTAATCCTATCTTAATGGATTCCCTAATCCCTAATCCCCACCATTCACCATTATAAAAATCCCACTTTCTTCCTCCGTTACCTCTTAACGAGACCACCAACCGTTGATACATACAGCCCCTGTATCTCCCGAATATTAAAATAAAGGGAAACTAAAAATTAAAATCTAAATTTAAGTTTTGAAAATTTAAAACTTAGGTTACAACAATCCCCTACAAGTTTTAAACATTCAAAATAGATAAAAATATCGATTTAGGCTCAATTCATTGTCATTAGCATTGTTAATGGTCACGCGCTATGATCTTGATTCTAGTAAGAATCTTTAGGAAATAGCCCAATCCTATAGCCACAACATCATGACAACTCTTACATAGGTGAGTCCTCCAAAGTTGCGATGACCCACACCTCGTGAGAATTCTCGTCTTGATACTCATTCAGGGTTAAACCCTTCATAACATCACATTTATTAGCATTATATCAACATATGGATGATCACAAATAATATGGTGCCATTACTAGTCACGCAATATAGGTTGTTTCTACCATATTAAACATAAAGATTGTGTTACTCCCGGAGGTAATTCCCTTACGGGCTTCCAGGTCCGAGTCAAATAGCAATGATTCGAAGCACTTCTTTTTACACTATTTTGGAAACCCAAGAACTCAATCCCATCACCCCTGTTATAACCCCCGTTGATTTCTTGGATTACAATTTATTTATGTCTCTCTTGAACAATAATTTGGTACCATCAGTTTGTAAAGCTCTTATTCTCCGCTTTCACATCAGTATATCTTCAAAGTCTTTTAACTTTTTAAAATATCAATAATACATTCAATTATAATAAGATAAACATATGAAATTTAGAAATTGAATCCTAGTAACACATTCAAATAGATGCATCCATTGAGCTCTTGCCTTTCACCTACATGTCTATAATTTATTTTTAACACTTTTCAAAAGTCAGTTTTTCAATTAAGAATAATAAAATATAAGGTGAAATTTATAACACCCCCACAATTTAAGGATATACAACTTTAATTTAGTAAATATATGGTCTTACAATTTATCTATTTTGATAGGATCCAACATCGTCAGGAGATAGTTGATGCACATGTTATTCAACCCCACACTTTCATGATTTCCATCCACAATAGATCCACAAATTTTTATTAGACACATTAGCAAAAATATTTTTTCCACAACAGTAAATTATAAACAAATAATTGATTATGTTTAGTATACCTATCGAAATAAGAATATGTTTAATCATGAAAAAGATTAAAACAATACCACAAATCAAATTCACATTCTCATCACATCTACCTCATAAGATTTAAGACACTTGCACTATTAAGGAAAAAAAGCCAGTCTAACATGCCATGATGAAACATATACATGTATTAATACGATTTCATACATTCATCATTGAAAGATGGATTGTTATCACTTGAGAAGATCTAAGGGAGTCCAAATTCAACTGATATGCTCGCGAAGATATTTATATTTGAAAAACTAAAGTTATGTGCGACTTCTGTTGGACTTCTCACTTGAGGAAGAGAAGCTGCGTGTTGTGGAAATCATTGGTAAAATATTGATTTTCTCATAGAAAATTGGCAGATGTGTGGAGCCTAATATACTGTACATTTTTCCCCCTCAGTTGCAATTCAACCTTCATGGTAAGGTCGATAGGGAGGATGAGGGGACGGTAGGCCCCCTAGTGTAGAGTTTGGTGGCAAAAGCCATCGAGAATTTTTTTTTAAATATTTATGATTACTTCAGGAAATTAGCACATATGTCAAGTCACCCCAGTATTTCTTCCAATACAATTAGGGAGAGGATCCATTCTTATTAGAGAGAAAATAGAGAGAGATAGGAGTCCCAAAGTACATAGTGATTCTCTTCATCGATGTAGTGAAATTTGCAGCGGCTCCTAGTATGGTAGCGTATTACATTGCGTGTTGTTCTTGCTTTCATTTACCATATAAATTGTTCTTAGTAATACAGATTATTCGTTTAATCCATAACAAACAATCATACCATATGCTGTGCCATAAACCAAAAATAGTATAATGGGAATTATCACAATGTCTTTAAATTAAAATGTATATTTTTTATATTACAACTTTTATGAAGTAATGTAGTTGTAAGTGAGTGTTCCAAATAGTGATTATGTCGAAAATTTGTTGGAGTATAACAGTTAATTAAGCATTTTTAATCAAATCAGAGAATAGAACATGATATAGTAATGAAGTTTGAAATCAAATTGAATTCAAGTATTCCAATTGAAACTAAATTAAAATTCAATAACTCAATTCAAACAAATTAAAGTTTAGCGATCCAATTGAAAATTCGTTAAGAGTTTAGCGATCGCAAATAAAACTTACCCTAGAAATAATTGTCCTTCAACATGTGCTCTCCCTAGAGGACCTTGCACTAATAATGGATGAAATTTTGTGTTTACAAGGGCCCAAGGGTAAAATGGATGAAGTTAGTGTGTAGCTCCAAAAGCTCGATTTTGACTGAAAACAGTTCTTGTACATAATTAAGGGGGGAAAGGCAAATTCTTGAAGGAATTATAATGTCAACAGAACAGCTTAGTACATTTATAGAAGAGTTTAGCGATCGCAAATAAAACTTACCCTAGAAATAATTGTCCTTCAACATGTGCTCTCCCTAGAGGACCTTGCACTAATAATGGATGAAATTTTGTGTTTACAAGGGCCCAAGGGTAAAATGGATGAAGTTAGTGTGTAGCTCCAAAAGCTCGATTTTGACTGAAAACAGTTCTTGTACATAATTAAGGGGGGAAAGGCAAATTCTTGAAGGAATTATAATGTCAACAGAACAGCTTAGTACATTTATAGAATAGACGCAACGAGGTAGCTTGGGTTCTCCTTTTCCAGCAATCGAGTTCAGTCATCCCAAGAAACACACATATGGGGTCCATTCAAAGTACATGTGAGAGGTTCATGCAGGAAAGAGAAGGAAGAGAGCTTGAATGCATCAGAATTTGAATTTCAAAGAATAATTTGCCACTGAATTTTCAAAACTACATATCAGTTAAGGTACTCACTGACGGCGAATGTTGGCCACTGAGCATTTTCTGGAAGTTTCATGGTGCTCGTCTTCAAAGCTAACAGCAGATTAGCCATCTCAACAACTCATATCCTAACATTGGTTCGGAGACATATTCTGCGCATTTATTATCTCCCTACTGTACATGCAACAGTTAGAAAGACGGCAGCTTGCATTTGCTTATGCTGTGATTCCGACCAAAACTAGTTTCAGGACCACCTGGTGGAAGCCCGAGATGCTCTTCATTATACTTGACAACCAAAAGGCACAGACCGTGTGGTGGAACTGACAATGAGTACTTGGCGAGTTCCTTACGATCTCGAGATCCCAAAATCCTGGGGACTATATCGGGGGGTACTGCTTCTCTCCCAACTTGAAGCAATAAAGCAACCTGTAAGGTACAGGAAAAGAGAATGAATTCTGATAGGATCACTGGTATGAAAAATTATAGTTTTATATCACTTCACAAAATCATGGTTAGCAAGTTCAACTGCGCAACATTCTCCTCATCCTAACATTAACTATGCAGTTATACTTAATTATGCTCAAGTAGAATGGAGGATGCTTATGAAAAAGAATTACAAATGAGAATGGAGGATGCTTATGAAAAAGATTACAAATGGAGGAGAATTGAATCAAATACCATGTTTCTAACTTGTCTATATAGAAAACCAGATCCTTCCACTTCAAGTTGCACTAGAGGTCCCTGCAGAGAATAAGATTCCATTTAAAACTATAAATTTTAAAATAAATAAAATTTATAAATATTACAAATAACCGTAAATTGTTGTGTTCATTAGACGATTATCTGTTATTTCAGTTTCTGGCCTTAACCTTCCTATAGTTTCAACTTCTTTCAAAATATACACAAACATACACATCATGCTGGTAGACAAATGAAGAGCACGAGGCCAAACAACTGAAAAAACTAAAGAAAAAGAAAAAGAAGACAGAATCAAGCACATCACTGTACAATAATTAATAATTACTTCGAAAGCAGGTAGTGCTAAGCAAAAATGCAGCAATGATAAACGTGGTCGTCACAAGAAAGTTGGAAAACAAAGTATGGAAGTGGATATGGTTTTTCAAATATTCCAAAACCACTGCAGGAAACACCACCAGATCAGGCAATAATTTATACATTGTTGGAGATGAACAGTACCATTTCGTTTACATTAAAGTGAAAGATATTCTTCACTGGATTTGGAACCCGGTCATTGCGTGATGTATTAGCAAAAGCAGAGAAGTCATGCTTTCCCACAAAATGCCTAGCAGCGTCCCTCATGGTAGCAACATTGAGTTTATAGATACTATGGTAAGCATAATTCCTGTGAAACGGGTCCATGATGGTATCATTGTAGATCTTGTAATGATAAATCTTGCTTTTGACAGAAAAACGGGCATGAAATTCTGGCACCGTAGAGCTGATTTCTCTAACTCTGATATCAGAAGGAAGAAGACCATTTAAAGCTTTGTGCACACCTTTCAGGTTGTCATAGTTGAAAGGCGTGATGAAATGCGCAACCTGAGAACTAAAGTCATCATTGATCAATTTCTTGATCAACGTCTTAAATTTCCATGACTTTGTAATAATTAAAACAGACCTGACCCCAGGCATGAACTCCTGCATCCGTTCTACCAGCACCAACTAAAAGAAGATCTTTTCGTTCTAATTTTGTTATTCGAGTTAAGGCTTCTTCAACAATACACTGCACAGTTGGTGTTGACTGTTGATATTGCCATCCTAACATTCAACATTCAGGACTGTAAGATACCAGAGTAGAGTACAAATGAATTGCCTTGGTGAAATTTACACTTGTTCTGGGTATGAGCATGAAATTAAGTGCATAATTCAGGTGAATAAAGTCTCAAAATACTTCAAACCCAATAATTTATGAATTTCCTAAGCCACGAATGAAAAAGCCCTTGAAATATGAAACGATGGTACAGGACCCCGATTTCAAATCAGTGCCCCAGATTACATAAACATAGCCAATTATGCCAGCATATCAATGTCATTGAATCAATTCTCCATACCCATGAAAGATAAAAAAGAAAAAAGAAAAATTGAGAAGTATAAAACCAGAAATGAATTAAACCTGAAAATCGGGTACCGTCGTAGGCTATAACCAGGCGCCACTTATAGGTGGAAGGTTTGAGCTTCTTCGTGTCATTATCTTCCCGATCGCCAGTCAAGTTCTGCTCGCAGCAAAGTAAACAAGAAACATGAGTCTCACTATACACGATAACTGTGAGAATGTAGCAATGAAATACGGAATTTGTACAAATTCATAACGTACGGAGCAATTGTAGGATGATATGGGGAGACAAGGATATTCCACAGGAGCACTAGGAAGCACTGATGGGATTCCAGTAGCCGACGCCGGCGCGGGCGCTGTGTTCATTTCCACTCTACGAAGAATTAGTACATTACCAGTAGTAGCCGAATTTTGTCTGATGTAGCCAACGGTTAGGGAGTTCCTACTGGATAATTTGATAGATATATTGGACGCTTTCGTATTGGGCCATTTTTGGACTCTTCACATTGGCCCATTTTCAATTTTGGGTGAAGCCCAAATGGTAGAAATTGTGCGGTTCGTTAGGCTGTAATGTACACATAATTGTTTGTGAAAATTATAGATTCTAATAGATTAAAAATTCTCATTTCATAAACAAGATACCATGTTTAATATTTCACAAATCAAAAAATTTGTTAATTAATTAATATATTTAAAAATTAATTAAACAAACCCTAATTATAACAATTTCAGTCTCAATACCCTCTCTCTCTACTCGAATCTCTTGCTCTCTTTCTCAATTCCCTCTCTCTCACGCACGATGGCCTCTCTCACACACGGCAACAATCGACTCCCCTCTCCGATCGTCGTCTTCATCGTCGGAAATTGTCAATTCTACAGATCTGCAGATCTCGTTAAAGTGGGATCTGGTTGTGATGTTGTGATTTATATTGAGTTCCAAGATGAGCTGGGGTTCGGGATGAAGAGATCAAGGTCTTTTGGGGAAGTGAGGGAGTCGTCAGACGTAAGGAAAGATGTGACTGCGTTGAGGGCAATGAAGCCTGAAAGGATTTTCGGGAAGATGGTCATTTACAGAGGCTTTTGGATTGGTTTTTGTCGTCTAGGCCTACAGGTATGGCTAAGAATGAGAGAATGATTCTAGTGGCTTTGTATTCGTCGCCCACGATCATGATGGTTTTGGAGTGATCGATCTGAAAATGGAAACAGTAGCAATGTTTGAGGCGTTGATTAATACAGTGTTCGTCGCAACTGTCGCGGGAGTTTTGGGGTGGTCGACCTAAAAATGGAAGCAGCAACAGTGTTTGGGGCGTCGATCTGTGTGATGTTCACCGTGATAGTGGTGGTGGGTAAAGCTATGGTGTTATTGGTATCGTGGTGGTGGTTAAAGCTATGGTGTTTTTGGTGTTACAGAGGTGGTGTTATTGGTATCGTGGTGGTGGGGTGTGGTGGTTAAGGCTATGGTGTTGGTGGTGCCGACAACAGCGACGGGTGGCAGTGATTGTTTGGTGATGGTCACAGATTAATTGGGTTGATTGTGACCATTAAATTGGTAATCTGTGGCTTGAAAATTGTGACTGCAACTCGCAATTGCATACGTGACCTGAAAATTGTGACTGTGACTCGCAATTGATTAATTTGTGACAAAAAAATTAATCGTGATCAATTAATTCAATAATTTGCAATGAGTAAATGAAGTGTGATCAATAAAAGTTTTGAATATATGACCCATGAATAATCTGTGTCCTGTAAAATTTTTGAATTCGTAATCGAAAAATATTCTATAACCTATAAAATTTTCGATCTATGATCGAGAAATAAGTTACGACCAATAATTTGATAAGTTGTGACTAAAAATTAATCTATGACTGGGTAATTAGATAATTGTGATAAAAAACTGTGACCTAAATATATTAAATTAATAAAATAATTAAATCATAAATAATTTTTAATAAAAATCTGATTTTTGAATTTTGAAACTTATTTTCTTAATTTTGAAATCTACCATATTTAATCTCTCAGTTATGAAATTTTTCTTTTTGTGGTAATTATAGAAAACCCTAGAGTTAAAATCTAGGGTTCAAAAATAAGATGAGTAGTTTAACATTTCAAAAATCAGATTTTTTATATTTAAATATTAATTATACGAATCAATTTCTCCCCTCACCCATCCTTTCTTTCCAATTAATTATATTCTCTCTCCAATTCCCCATCTCTCCAATTAATTGTATTCTCTCTCTCCACCCGACCTCTCTGTCCACCCATCATCTCCAATTAATTATATTCTCTCACCAATTTCTCCTCTCTCTTCTCCTCTCCACCTGTAATCTATTTCTCTCTCCACCTGTCTTCTCTCGTAGAAAAATGTCGTTTCAGCACGGCTTTTCCTTTTCAAAAGTGCTATTGCTCACAATCAAAAGCTCCCGTTCTTTTTCCTCCCCATTGAATTTATTAATCTGTGACTAATAAACAATATGTGACCGATGAAGATAAATTTTGACCAATGTTACCTAAAAAAATTAATTCGTGATCGTCTTATAAGTTGTGATCTTGTGATCTGTGATTGATACATAAATTGTGACGTATTAATTTTTGATTTGTGATCGATGAACAAATTTTGGCCTATAAAATTTTGAATTTTGATCATAAAATAATTTGTGATATTTAAAATTTATGATTTGTGACCGAAAAATAATATGTGACTAACTAAATTATGAATCTGTGACCAAATTGTATAGATATGTGACCTTAATATATTTAATTAATAAAATATATAATTAATTAATTATGTGGTTGAGGGATTTAAATGTGTATTCAGTATTTTAGGGAGTTTAATTTGGATGCTTGATTTTAGAGACTAACTGTAACAAATCATCTCTCTCTCTTCATATGGGATAATATATGGAATCCGGCTTTTAAAGGTAGGTGGACACTGATTTTTAGGAAACTAATTGATTGTTTTATATTTCTGATTTTTGTAAATTCAAACTTGTCATCTTAATTTTGAATCACCTATATTTATGCTAGGATATATGAATTTTTCCCTTGGATTTTTATAGTTAGATTTTGGGTTTTAAATAATTTAGATTGGATTTTGATTGTTCGAATTGGGTTTGAAGGAATTTGGGTTGGATTTTAATTGTTAGATTTGTGTTTGAAAGAATTTGTGTTGGCTTTTTGTTTAATTTGGGTTGGGTTTTAATTAGTGGATTTATGTTTGATGGAATTTTTGTTATGTTTTAATTGTTAGATTTGGATTTCAAGGAATTTGGGTAGGTTTTTAGTTATTGGATTTGGATTTGAAGGAATTTGGGTTGGGTTTCGATGGTTGGATTTGGGTTTGAATTAATATTTCGGTTGGGTTTTGATTGTTAAATTTCGGTTTTGAAGGAATATTTCGGCTGGTCTTTAATTGTTAGATTTGGGTTTGAAGAATTTGGGTTGACTTTTTATTGAATGACTTCGGGTTTTTAATTGTTGGATTTGGGTTTGAAGGAATATTTGGTTTTGGATTTTAATTGTTGGATTTGTGTTTGAAGGAATATTTGGGTTGGGTTTTAATTGTTGGATTTTAGGAATTTGGGTTGGCTTTTAGTTGTTGGATTTGGGTTTGAAGGAATTGGGTTGTGTTTTAATTGTTGGATGTGGTTTTGATGTAATTTGGGTTGGATTTTAATTGTTGGATTTGGGTTTGAAGATATTTGAGTTGGGTTATAATTGTTGGATTAATTGTTTGAAGTAATTTGGGTTGGCTTTTAATGGATTAAGGCATGATGGAAATTGGTTTCGGTTTCAATGGTTGGATTTGAGTTTAAAGGATTTTGGGTTGGGTTTATTTGTTGGATTTTGGTTGAAGGAATTTGAGTTAGGAAGAAAATTGGGTTGGATTTACGTTTGAAGGAATATTTGGGTTGGGTTTTAATCGTTTGATTAAGGTTTAAAGGAAATTCTGTCGATTTTAATTGTTGGATTTGAGTTTAAAGGATTTTGGGTTGGAGTTTGGCCGTTGGATTTGGGTTTGAGGGAAACGTGTTGAGTTTTATTGTTGGATTTGGGTTTGAAGTAATTTGGGTTGCATATAAATGTTGGATTTGGTTTGAAAGAATTTGAATTGTTGGATTTGAGTTTGAAGAAATTTAGGTTGGGTTTTAATTGTAGGATTTTAGTTTGAGGAATTTGGGTTGGATTTCAATTGTTAGATTTGGTTTCGAAGAAATTTGGACTGAATTTTAATTGTTGGATTTCAGTTTCAAGAAATTTAGATTGAGTTTTAATTGTTGAATTTGGATTTGAAGGAAGGGAAGAGTTCATAAACCAAGTATTAACTATGCCCAATTCAAAATCCAAGTTACAAGTTTCTTTAGTGCAAAAATCAGGTTTTAGCTAATTAATTAAAAATATTTATTAAATAATGATAATAAAGCCATTGTTATACTATTCATGATCACATATTCACAATTATAGGTCACAGATTTTATTTATCAGTCATATATCATCAAATTAATTGGTCAAAGATATTTTCAAGGTCACAAATCACAATTTTGATAAGTCACAGATTATGTCGAGGTTACAGATCAAAAAACTATAGGTCACAAATCCAAAAAATTATAGTCACAGGTCACATATTTTCAAATTTAATAGTCACATATTACTTTTTTAGTCACAGATGATCGAATTTTAAAGTCACAGGTCAAATAGCAGTCACCACCAACTCCACTGCCACCACCGTCACTTGCAACCACCCTTACCTTGTCGTCGTCGCTATCGCCATCGCCACAGCCGCCTCCACCGCCACCGCCACCGCCACCGCCAACACCAACATCAACAAAATCGACGCAACCAGATCCACCGTCGCCACCAAACACACAAAAAAAAAAAATCACTACCAAAACACGACAACCGACTGCATCGCACCCAACCCACAGCGCACCACCATCACTAGCAAACACCACCAACCGTAAAATCACTACCACACACAAAAACACCATAACCACAGCTTCATCGCAGCATCCACAGCATCCACACCCAAAAAAAGCGCCACTCATATCAGGGCCGAGATTCTCTTCCAACACCACGGCACCTACGGCACACACACCCGGAACTTTGCCAACACCACCGCATCCAACCACACCACCCATCTCACATTATCGATCTCCAACACCACCACACAAATCAGCACATATACTACAGATTTCGACAGCTGCAGCAAATCAAGCATCAACGCTCATATCGCTCGTAGCGGCACCGAAGCTGTGACTAGCTCGTAGCAGTACTGACGCTCGCAACAACGAGGCGAGTGGCGCTCAAATTTTGAGAGCTGCAACAAATCAGGATCAGGCAAGCGGCACTCAGATTGCTCACAAATCAAGCGAGAGGTTCTCAGATTTCACTTATGTCGTCGGCTGCGAAGGTACTCTTAGGT